TTAAGCTATTTATATATTTTACAAATGTGACCCCTTCGAGTGGAGGGAGGGACTTCCTTGGTCTCAAAATAAAAAACCTGTTATTATGGATTTATTTGTTGAGGGAAACCTGTGTAGCTTAACTTCCCCTAAAAGACTACTTTTTTTAAGAGCACAAGAAGACCCTCGTGATAGAGAGAATGACCTTAGAGAGACTTTCCCACATCATTTTAATTTTCTGAATTAATCATTTGTAATAAGCAAAAGTAAATTAGTTTTGGTTATTCCAAATCTTGATCTCACTGGATTGACTTTCACAAAAAATCATTGAATATTTTGAAGTATTTGTTTCCTATTGGGATCTTATGTGACCAGCCAGTACGGAGTGGTGAATGATAGTCAAGTGGAAGGAAAATAATAAATATTTTATACATTTTTTAAATCACATTTCTGATAAAAATAAACAGTGTAGTGGGAAATTGTTTTTTAACCTTCCTAAGTCAGTTCTTCAAAGAACTATTTAGAATGTTTCTGCTTCTGTTATTAAAGTGTGATAGTCTGCCAGTATTTTTTATTTTTAATTTTTTTGCAAATCAGTCAGACCAGATACAGAATATCTGTGAGTCACAAGACTTACATGTTATCAGTCTGATTAAAGTCTAGAGACTGACTTGGCCATCCTAATGGGCCATTTTACTCTCTTTAAAATGTTTACAGATGTTGTTCTGCTGGAATATTAACCTCTGCCTTTGTCTCAAGAGAATTTGCACCTTTATACACTGCAACAAATTGGAATCTAAATTAGTGATTTTTTTTCTTGCAATAAGTGCATTTTTTCTTTCATTGTGAAGGTAAGTGAGACACTTTACCAATGGAACAAGAAAATTAACATTTAAGATGAGAAAAAACAAATGCCTTGCCTTATTTCAAGTACATATTATCTAATCATCTTATTCTAAGAGTAAAAATACCTATTCCATTGGCAAATTATCCTAATAACCTACTCAAATTAATGGTTAATACACTTAATTTAAGACATTTTTGAACTTCTCTAGTTTTTGCAGTGCAATGGCTTTCCTTCCAGGACACCTCTCTATTAAAGTCTGTCTATCATCCAATCAACTGTTAATATTATTCCCACTTTATGGTGCTTCCATCTCCATATTTTGCAACATAAATGCTGTATTGCGGGTGATGTTTAATTACACAAACATTGTTTTGCAAATAGACTAAATATGGATATTGTGGCTTGATCCAACCAGGACACTTTATTCCACATGCTTGCTGTGTCCCCTTAATAGCTTGTGGAAAATTGCAAGCAATACTTCCTTTTTTATTTCTTTTCAACAGTGCTTCTTCCTTCCCACTCATTTTTAAAGGTCGGATTTCTAGAGTACATAAGAAATAGTTGTCCCGTTATTGAACGTAAACTGTGGATCTATGTAGCTCCTACAGAGTCACCACAGGTCTCTGGGCTTTTTCTCTGTTTAATTCTCACCCTGACTAACCTGTTGGTTGAGCTAGGCGGCCATTACTTGCTATGTTGGCAGCGTGAAAGCTAGGTTTTTATTTTTTTAATGATAGATAGAAGGGTGCTTTGTGAATTGTTTGCTTTATAACCTGAGGTTGTCACACCCTACTCTTTTAACTGACTGGATGACTGTTGAGGATTATTCATTATACTTGGCTTTATCTAAGAAGACTGTATGAATCATGAATACATGTAAATGTAACACTGTAAAATCATTATTTGAAAAGTAAAGTCAGGGGCGTTCATCATTTTGCACCTGTTTCACTGCTCCATGCTGCTATCACACAGAATCCAGAAAAAGGAAGATAAAACAGTTTTTTTGTAATGTTAAATTTTTTTAAGAATTTACATATTTTTTGTTCTTGGGCTTTCATCAAATTATCACAATGTCCTACCGTTGTGTGTTTCAGTCTTCAGAAGTCTTTATGTTTTGATTTAGCTGCTAACCACACTCAATAAATTCACTAAGTTAACATTACAAAAATGCAAATCTAAATAAGTCATTTTTTCTTTAAAAAAGTGCATTTTTTCTTGAATTGAGGAGGTAAGTGAGACACTTTGCTAACAGAACAAGACGATTTACATTTAAAATAAACAATAATTGCATTGTCTAATTTCAAGTGCAGATTATCTGCTTATCTTCTTTTAAGACTAAAAATACTCATTCCATTGGCAGATCATCTTATTTACCTACTCAAATTAAGGGTAAATACACTTAATTTAAACCATTTTTATTTATTTATAGATCGTTTTTGCTGTGAATGAAATCCCTGTTCCAATAGATCCTGAAGATCTGATCAAGCTCTCTGATATCACTTTATTTGCACTCTGCTTTCACCATTTTCTTCGTAATTTCTAATTTGTAATCCTGCAGTAATGCTGTCACTGTCACTTTTATTTGTTCTGAGAGGCTCCAGGGGTAACAAGTCACCAGAGCAGGAGGGGTTGTTGCAGTACATGCTGTCACCAACACTTTACCATAATCATACAAATAAACAGGACCATTAACCTCTGTCACATCTCATATGCTGATATACAAATAGCCCTTGTGGCTTTTAAGTAGGAAGTGATAAATGTTGGATTAATATAAAATGTAAAAATGCTTCATTGCAGGTATGATTAGTATAAACCATCCTGTGAAATAGGAAGTGGTAAATATAGAGTCAACATCTAATTCAGCATCTCTATATTCTACATATTGTGGCCAAAATGTCTGGTTTTGTAATAATAAATAAGATGTTACTTATATCCAGTACAGTCCACCTTAAAAGCAAGAAAAGCTATCAGATGGTAAAATGTTAACGTGCAGTGTTTAAACCAATTCTAATTGGTCTAAATAGCTTCAAACTAAAAAGTTACTGAGGGCTGCTTTGAAAGTTTACATCAGCTTTCCAAAAAGGCCAGAAACACCTTTGGTTAATTTGTTTTTTGTTGCACAAAAGAGAAAACTTCTGTTTCATTAAGGCCATTGGTAAACACATTCTATTTAGAAGTGTATGAGTGAAAGTGCACCATCTAAAATATGTGCATACACTAAAATGTGTTTTAATGTATAATAAGTTGTTAAACATCCCCTCATTTTAAGCTTTGCACAGCAAAGTAGGATCTTAAATCTCTTCCCTTTGCATCATATTATATTTCCATCTTATGCACAATGACGTTCAAGCGTTTGTTCTCTCAAGGCTGATTTATACCCAGGTCGTCCGCGCGTGTGTCGCAGTTAACGCAGATATGCACAGGAGATGGATGGATACCGTCCCCTGTAACATTTTATCACTGAATGTGTACAATTCTAATAGCAACAACGATGGCAATAATATCATCCTTTCAATGTTTGGCAGGATGTAGGTTTACATGTAGCCTGAGCAAAATAAATAAAATCAAAGAAGCGTCCTACCATGATTATTAAGCTGATTCCAGTGGGAAACGAGTCCTTAACTATGTAGGGGCAGTGATAGCCATGCCAGTCCAGGGACTGACTGCAGTTCTACTGAAAGGTGCCTTGGTTAAGGTCAATGACCAGCGTACCTGACATGGAACAACCATACCATGCATATTGCTGTATGTCAATAGACTATATTAATTAGGCTATGTATGCTTCCAAAAAATTATAATAATAATTCTACCCTAAATAATAATAATAATTCTACTCTAGAGTTTTTGCGTCACATCCCTAATGATCTGAATGGTTCTAACCTAATGAAGCTGACCCTGTTAGCCCCTCCCTTAAAATTGAGCTGTACTGGTTTCATCAATGATGAAAACATTCTTTAAAACATAACATGTGATTCCTTACATTTTTTTTTTCTTGTAACAACCAAAACATTGGGATTTCTTATCCGTCACCAAAAGTCTGAAATCTCTTCTCCAGGCTGTGAAGCAGGTTTTCTGTGCCATATGGTCCACGACCAACTGTGGTTTTTGTAAGTCTTGCTTCTGTTTACTCTAATAGGTCCTGAGCCCAATTTAACTAGTTAGAATAAGCTCAACATTCAGCCTAGGGTTATTCACACCTTGTCAACAGTTTATTCCGCCCTTCACCCATTTCATTTACTGGCACAGTAAATTTGGGACATGGTGGTATAGGTAAGACAGAATCCTGAAGGGCAGAACATGCTTAACTTATAAAAACTAATGAAGAGAGGTGAAATTGGAGACTCCTTTACCCTTGTTTCCTCCCTATCATCAGCCATGGTATCTTGTTTTCTCTCTGTCGTCTTCCAGATTGGTAGTGATGGAGCAGAGGTGCGAGAATGACCCCGAGCTGTCATTGTTTTCCTGTGAAGCCCTTCCTTCTCCCTCTCTGCTCTCCTCAGGGAAGCATATACAGGTGATTTGTGTCCGAGAACGCAATTATTGTGTGTTCAATTTTTCTGAAAGCCAACAGAAAGTGTTTGAGATCACTCACCTGAAATGTCATTGGCACCCAAACAGAGCGTCCATCACTATGTTTTCAAAATGACAGGGGAGCCATTAGCCGGCTGAGAGTGTGTGTAATGTGATGAAATTGGGTGGGCTTGTGATGTTGGAGAGGCTGTCTTCTATCATCTGGGGAGCATCTGCACGTGAAAGATGCAGCAGAACTTGTTTCTACAGATACCATATGGTTTAGGTGAAAAAAGGCAATAGCCTTTTCCCTTTTTTGGTTACATTTGCAGTTTGTCACTTGTTTATATGTGCACCGCTGCACATGCTGCATCGTGACGACACCGTTCTGTAAGCAGCATGAAAGCAATGGGAAATCATCTGGTGGTCTGCTGCATTGGGACATACAGTGTTGCAGGCAGAAATACACACATGCACGCTCACATCCCCCCACCCGTAGCTCACCCTCTGCAAACCTGCCATTCTCAGGTCCATGATGTAATGCCAGCAGACCCCTCCTCTGCTGATTCTCCCTCCCTCCATCTTTCACACACTCCTCTCACTCCTTCTCCTCTTTTGATTGGCTGCTCCCGTCTGGATCTGCTGGATCAGCTCTGACTCCTTGCACACATGCACACCCTTACGCACACACAGCCACATCTCCAAGCTCCCTCTCACACACACTGTTACACATACACTACCAGGGGGATTCCTCCGCCACTGCAGCCTCTGCTCCTGTCTCCACCTGGCTCCCATCCTCACCGCTGGGGAGGTAAAAACCACCCGGTGAGTACATCATTTCTTTCTTTCCTTTTATGACAGCTGGTGATTGTGGCTCGCAACAAGACAAAAAGGATGAGAGGATGCTGATTTTTCCTGCAGACAGCCACGGACAAACGCCGGGAGGCAACGCCACTGCAGCCTGGGAGGATAGGCGCACAGCTGAGTTAGAGCGTGGAGTGATGAAGTGATGTAAGAGGAAGCTGCTCAGTTACTCCAGATACCGGTCCTCTAAGCGCACGGTGCCATGGCAGAGCGATGCTTCCAGGGAGGCTGCAGGCTTCACACATGTCTTTGACAGGGAAGGATGCTGGAGTGCACATGTGTTAGGTGAGGAATGACTTTGCTTGCATTTGGGTGCTCATTCTGGATGACATAGAAACCTTCAGTCTCTTCCTGGGTGTTGGGTGAAATGTCAGTCACCTTGGTGTAGAGATATAAGGGGAAAGAGAAAAACTGCAGGGGAATGAAGTTCCTTCCTGCAGTCTGTTTTGGTCCCTAACCAAAGGACTATATAGTGGCCCTGATAAATCCCTGACAGTCCCATTATGTTCCTTTAATTCCCTCCTGATGCCACTGAACAAACAGGGTGTGTACATGGAGCGTGAAGCTGTGCTTCTGTGACATTCGGGCTCTTGCTGTGCTCTAGTTGTCTCCTTTTTTCTTATGTGAACTGGGCTCTTTTTCTGAGACTCGATGACACTGAGCATAATAGGAAAAGTAATTCTATTATCGCCTCAGCTTTTCACAGCTAAATGAGACATTGATGATAATGGAAGTGGGTGAAAGGAAATCACTGGTCCGTTCTTCTCCCTCAGCTCATTCTGGTCAATTTGAAACTTTTGTGCGTTGAAATGTTAAAATTTTTTTTCACAGTGGCTCTATTATGCTCTGCTTTATGTAGAGTATAATAGAAATCATTTTACTGTTTTTCCATTTTTCTTTGATAGGCTGAGTTAGTAAAGGTTCTATATTGAATTTCCATACTAGAAGCATAAATGATCACTTCCAGTACTTTCTATGGATTAAAGTTTAAAAGGAGTTACGTATTATTGTGTTCAAACCCTTAGAACCACCTTCGCCTGCTACACCTTTCATTCTAAGTCAATGCTAGGTCATTTAGAGATGATTTTGATTATTTCTTTACAGAACATCTGTAAACTGCATTTTTTTTTTACCCAGATTCTCATTTTGGATTTATTTCTGGAGCCATTCTAGCATGTGAAAATGCTTTGATCTAAACCAGTGGTTGCCAGTCCTGGTCCTTGGGCTCTGCTCTCCATCATGTTTCAGATGCTTTCTGCTCCAGCAGACCTGTTTTTAAATGACTTTATTACCTCCTCAGAATGCCATGACATCCTACAAACGAAACCCAAACCTGCATTGATATTAGGTGTAAGCAGCAGAAAACCAATGGAAAACTTGGAGGATAGTGGATCATAAACCATCCCTTTTCAGAACTGGTTGTATCTTTAGGGTTCTTGTCATATTGGAATTAAAACCTCCGCCTCAACCTCAGGTTTTCACACTGATGCTGTATTTAGCTCAATCCATCCATTAACAGTTTGGCTTAGTTGCTGCGCTGAATTGTTTTTTTCTTTCAGGTCTAGCTTCTTTTCCCTGCTGAAGCAAAGCACCCCCACATCATCACACTACCACCATTTTTCACCATTTGGGGAATTAGTTCTTCAGGTGCTGGGTTAGATTTCTGCCATGCATAGGGATTTGTAAGGAAGCCAGATAAGTGAAATATTTGGCCTTATCTGATTTTTTCTGTAGCCTCATCATTAAAACTTATCACAACCCACAAACTTGTTGGTTGTGATCCCTTTTAGGGCCCTTGATCAACCAGTATGGGCTCTTGAGATCCAATACAGACATTAAGCTAAACAAAAAATATGTATGTTTAAGTGTTTTAAGGGATGAAAGCATCACTTAAAAATAGACAAAACCAACAAACTTGGTTGCTGATGCTTTTTGCAATGTCACAAATCCCTAGTTGATTGATTTCATAAAAAGGTTTGTAAATTTAACCAATTCTCTGGTACCATTTTGTGGTTCAGACTTAAAAGCTTGGTTGTGTCTGCCTGTAACAAACTGGTCAAGCTGGGACTTTCCTTCAACGGCGGCTTTCTTCTAGTTCTGCAGCTAAAAAAAGATATTTTAGTGGATGTTTCTCACATTACTGAAGCTCCTCAAAAATTTAAGGTTCAGCACTCAACTTTCACCCTTTATCAGCCCTTATTTTAGTTATATTTCATGTAAAAAGGAAAACTAACATTCAGTGATGTTTATTAAAGAACAGACTTGGAAAAGCTCTCATTGATTTTGGTAAAATAAAACCACAGTTAGCCACGTTTCCTGATGATGAAAAGATACAAAAAAGCTGGCTGTTCTTTTTAAAAAGGCAAAGGTATTTTTTTTTTTTTTATATTTTTTTTTTTTGTTGAGCAAAATATAGTTTTCTTTTTTTTCCAATTTAAATCAAATAAAATGAGAAAATATCATCTCTTCCGAACATTTGGGACATTGTTTCCAAGCCTCTTCCTGCTTTAAACCTCTCCACAACCTCCCTTACACCCGTTCTGTGCTTTTTGGTCTTTGTAAGGTTGTTTCTTCACTCTTTGACAAACATATGGGGCCTTGACTCTGAATTAAGGGCGTACAACAGAAACACCATTTTTATTTCGAATAGGTTGAGAACTTCAGAGTTCTACTAATAAGGTTGCTTCTGTAGGTAAAAATGTTGCACTGAATTTTATTTCAAGGCACAGAAATATATATTCAGCACATATTCTAGTTTGTTATTTGTAAATTGTGTAAACCATGCATCATTTTTCCATAGATGCATTTGAATGAACCTGATTAACCAATGAGTTGTCACCATAGCTTTGCTACAGCACAAAACAAATGATACATTTTACCCCTGATAATCTGCACGTTTATTTTTTTACTCTTTAAACCAGTCAGCTCTGCTTTGCTCTTCACCAAACTCATTATTAATTAGAATGACTCCAGCAACCATCCACCCCCTTTATTAGACCCCTTTATGAGATATTTAGAGACTCAGCTGGCCTGATTTGCATTAGGGCCCATCATGAAACTCTGCAAGCAAACATGTCAGTTGATTTCTTTGTAATCAATGATTAGCACATGAAAAGACTCTTCCTGGAGGCTATTTAACTCTGACATGGACTCTGTGGGCATAAATGGAAAGTAATTATGATTGTGGCCAAACAGAAAGCTAATAAACCGACGAGCACGTGGAGCACGTCTACAGCTCCCATTGGCTGTTTGGATGGTATGTCTGTACTTAGGAGGTTTGATGAGTGGTCATACTGAGATAGATTATTGATTGATTTCATACTGTTTCAACCTCATTACATCTGACAACAGATGCTGTGTCTCCACTCCGCCGCAAAGACCTTTAAAAGGAAGCAGCTCATATTAACCCCATGTGCTGTTCTTTGTAGATCATCTTCTTGAAACAGTTTGTAGGTTTTCATACAGTATTTGGTTCACTTGTTTTTACATAAAATCTGTCGCAGAACCATGTTGGTACCGCTTCCCTCATGAGCAAACTGGTTGGCGCTGTCCTCACTGGCTGCAGAATCAATGCCAGCTAGAATAAACATAAAAAATGTTGCCTTGAAAACTTGACTCGGCTACAATCTGAAAGAAAAATGCATCCATCCTTGCAAGGGTGTAACTACCTTTGATTCTAATCACAGCCTAAAGAAGAACCTTTCTTATTTCCATACAGAATTCATCTGTGTTTTCCATCCAGTCTGTGCAGGCTTCATGCATATCAGCTGTTATTTCTCTTCATTTTATCCAAAGGCTTAATAGCTTTTTTTCCATTTGACCTAAATGTTGAGTATTTCCAAGAACATTACGTGCAAAGGGGCCCCTGTGTTTATCTGGTGCTTCCATTCCCAAGTGGCGTTCTATTATAAGTTCCTCTGAAACTGTCTTGCAGATGTCATTCATCCACTTCAAAATATACTGTCAAAGGAAAAATGTTAAGCATTCAAAAGTGTTCAGTTTAACTTATTTTCACATGACTTTGCCTACAGATCCAGATGCACCAATCTCAGATTTTCTCTGACCTGCTCATACTGATTTTATTCTGTTCTAATCCCTCTCTAAGAACTTAAATTATTTAAAACAATATTCCTAGTTTTTGGATTAATCAATTTCACACATTCTGCACAAAGTTAGGGCTGTCTTTCCCTGCATCAACAAAAACCTCTATATCTTCTTTGATCCTCTTAGTTGTTTTACAGGTGTATTTTTTATAGTTATAACCAAACTAAAAAAAATCACATAATGTATGATTTACTCCTTAAAATGTCAGATTATAGCTCACTAGTTGTTTTATCCTCTCTTTTGTCCAGCTATAAAAGAAATGTGCACCATTCTGGCATCTTTTTAATATAACAGTTTTGTCTAAATTCTTGATAGTTTATCAATCTATTGCAAGTGTGCACAAGCCTAAACAAGCCATTTCTGTCAGAATGTTTTAATGTGTTTACATTAGGAGTGTCACTCTGTGTGTTTGGGAGAGCAGTCGTTCACACCGAACATGGAAGCAGTGTTGGAGCAAGGGTTTGTATGTCTCTATGTGACAAATAAACGGTCAGAGATAAGAAGTGAATAGCACAAACTGGGGGATCAGTTACTAAAAGCAGTCCTTGTGGGTATTTCTATAAAGTTAGATCCTTACCTTCCCTCTCAGATTAAAGCCCTGAACTCGCAAAACATGAAAAAGTTGTGTCGTAAGCGAATGTGGCGTTTAGCACTCATTGAGACTCAATAGTGATGATGACACCCAACACGATTTTCTCCAAGGGGGATTTGCATAGCTCCAACCGAGATACACCGTAGGTCTGTTTTTGTCGGACTATGCAGCAATTTAGTTGCAATTTCATGGATCTGAAAGGAAGATTTGGTTGCAAAGTAAAACACCTTCCCTATGGGGGGAAAACAAAATAAAATCTGCAAATCACAAGACAAAAACAGTCAGGTTTACCCCATTTGGAATTACACGGAAAGCAGGTGGGAAAGACTGGGACATAAGCACTGAATATATCATTTTAATGAAAAGAATACTTTACCCATGATGGAAGGACAAAAAAAGGGATCAAGTAAAATAGAAATCCTCTTAAGGCCTCGAAAAACAAAACAACAGGCGACGCTGCAGGACACGCATCACTTATCACTCTCCCCTCTTTATAAAACCAAAAAAAACCTTCAATCAATAATACAGATCGCTCACTGATATCCCTTTTCCACTGGCTAAAAAAATGTTTAAACCCACAAACATTCTG